AGTTTTCTTTTCTTTTTCCCTGTCTCTGTGATAAATGCTCTATTAGGCCAGCACGCCTGACAAAGCCTTATCTGAAAATATGTTCGAGATCCGTGCTCCTGCCGGGTTTCAGGGATCAGCCGGCAATCTATTTCATGGATAACATCATCCTTTACCAGGGGAAACATTAAAAATTAACCCAGAGGACTTCATATTTTTCTGCTAGGAGCAAAGCTGCTATGGTTACCAGATAATGCACCGACTGAGCTGGAATACAGATAAGGACTTTTTTTTTTTTTTTAAATATAAGAAAGGCAAAGGCCCCAGTGATGGCTCACAAGAGAAATGCCCTGTGGACAAAGAGAATACAGTCAGCCTCAGAGCTTGGCAGAAGGCGTTTGACTCCAGGCAGTATCTAACCTATTAAGTAGAGGCCAGGAGCTTGTTTGATCTTTGCCTGGATGAGGAAGGCAGGGAGGGGGTGTTGGGAGAAGTGGGAGGCAAAGCTAGGAGGAACTTGGAAGTATGGGTGCACCCCTAGACCCCATTTCTCACCACACTCTCACACACAATGCACACTTACATGCACATACATGTACTACTCATTGACTTTAGAAGGCTCTACGCTAATGCCAAAGGTCTTCTCTCCACCTCTAGCTACTTGATATGACCAAGCCAAGACTCCCTGATTCTTACAGAGGATATGGGCACCCTGTGGGCAGACGCCAGGGCAGGCCACTAGAGAGCTGCGACAGGCATTGACCTTCCTGCCTCTAACATCCAGGCCCTTGGGGAGAAACTTGAAGAGGATTAGAGGTCAGAGAAGTTGTTGGCCTTGACCTCAGGTGAGAGCATCCCATGTTTCTGTCTATCCTGGGTGAGATAGGAGGGCCACAGGTAGATGGATGTGAACTCAGATGGGCTGGGGAGGGGAAGCTGGAAGAGCCCATGATAATCGGGCAATGGTATTCTTGGTTTTGAGCCTCAAGAGGTGAGATGTTTGCATCTTATTAGATCCAGCAAATTGCGGGGAGGCTCAAGAAATAAGTTCCAGGGTGTTAAGGAGCTCTGTGTGTGGGCTGTGCCACTAGCTCCCTGGGTGAAATTGAGCAAGTCTCTTTCTCTCTCTGGCCTCCGTTTTCTCTGCTGAAAAGTACATGGCTGGGAGTAGATGGTCCATAGTTCCTTCCTGCTGCAAACACCTGTACACCTTGGAGGGGAAGTGATATTCAGACGTATCCGAAAAACACAGGGGAGAAGCCTAGGCTCACTGGGCCGGGAACATGACCCTAATCCCAGAGCCGGGCACGGTGCAGCCCCTTCCTGGACCTGATGACAAGAAAGCAGGGGGCACTGCCCCTCAAAGGACAGCCAGGAACACGGCCTGCTTCCACCCCATGCTTATTTTACTGCTTCCCACTACTTTCCCAATAACCATTTACTGAGCCCCTACTGTGTGCTATCCTCATTTTTGTCTCTGCACAGGAGTTATCTGGGAACCTTCATGGGAGTTACCAGAAGGCAGAACCTGTGTCTGCACTGTCTTGTGTTCCAAGGCCCAGCATAGAGAACACTTGTTTTACTAAACTTCAGGTTGAGAGTCAGCTGTGTGGGGAATGGAAGGGGTTGCTAGGCAGGCCTGTAGCCTTGCCATGGAGTCATGGGAGTCACCTTACACTTCTGGTCTGTTCTTTCTAGGCTCTTTATATGAGAAAAGGAGCCAAGAGCCCAGCTTGTGTCTAGGTTTGGACCAGAGCCTTCAGGGGAACAAAGGTCCTTAGGACCAGTAGATCAGAAGCAGGGAGGCTGGCTGGTGGGGTCAGGGCCCTGAGGTCCAGCCACCTCCACCTCAGGAAGAGTATTTGCTCTAGAATGTCAGCTAGGAGCTTTCTGCCCAGGCTCAGCTTACATCCATCAGTGCCGCGTTGATGTAATTGCTGGATTCTCCGTCCACCGAGATGAGGAAGGGCAGGCAGCGGTCCAGAGGCAGCACGTCCATACTTCGATTCTTATCATGGTTCCGGGGCAGAAGCCCAATGCTGCAGTCCTCGGGCCTCACACGGGGTGTCACAATGTTGAGGGTCTGTGGGGCACAAAG